AAAACTGCTTACAAGTGGAGAATAATAATTAATAGCTACAGCTCTGCTGGCTTTCTCAAGCACACACTGTAGAAATTCACCAAGCAGACCTTCCATCTTCTGAAATCTCCACAGGGTTAGAACCCATTAAAAGGATTTATGGGTGGGCCTCCTCCTCTAATTAAACACTCAAACTTTCTGAAAACTCCACAGGCCCAGCAGAAAAACATTACTTATTATCTGGGCATTTCTCATTTCACAATATCTCTGTTTTTTTAAAGACATAAAAGAAAGCATCGTCACGCTGAAATGTCTGACCTTCCTCAGCACAAAGACTTCTTGAGCTAATTAAGAGCAAAGCGGTCGTCCTGTGGTGGAATATGATGCATCCCAGTGCTGGGAGGAACCACTGACAGCAACCATGATGCAAGGATTTCACTCTTATCTGTAAAAAGTGTGCACGACGTCTTAATTGGAGTTTTAAAAAAACCGTTAGGTTTAACAGTTTCACTTTCCTTACCCTAGTTTGTTACTTTCTCATCCTGTTTGTCGGGTCTTTTCTATTTTTTCTCGTTTTCAGATCTAATCCACGACAGTTCTTCTTCGCTTATCTCTTTTATTTTGTGCTTGAAGCGTCTTTGAATGCTGTAATTATCTGACTTCGGGCTTCGTGTTTCTTCTTTTTCTAATTTCTTTTCCTTTAATCTTTCTTTACAAATGTCTTTTTGTTCTCAATCCTTATTATCTCGTGTTTTCGTCTTCAACATACAGCTGAATTATTCTTTTATTAAAAGTCATTCATTTCCTTTTGAGGTTGATTCATACTGATATATCATATATTCTCGCTGGCTTCACCTCCGTTTCCGTCAGTGGTACTTGCAATTTTCCGTCCATTTTTAACAAGAGAGCAGGAGGACTGTTTTATCAATCGCACACACACTTACTGTACCTACACACCCATAAGGTGCACACACACGGCCCAGAGCGGTCAGATAAGTCAGATGATGGCTTTGACAGAAGTGCTGCCTTAGCTCTTCAGCTCTCCCCGGGGCTCCACACACACACTTACACCCATAACTCAAGGTGGAACTGTCTGTATATTAAACACCCAAGGCATAAGCCCCCCCAACACACACATACACACACACATACACACACACATATATATATGACCTTGCCATCCACCAACGCTTTCTTTGTATCTGCTGAAACCATCCAGTTCATGGTTGAACGAGCAGCAGCTTTATAAACAGACAGGGCCGTGACATAAGGCAAAACTCTACAGCTCACTAGGATCTCGTGAATGTGCGCACGTATATGTATGCACCCTTATGGGTGTGCGCCTGTGAGTGTATGTAATTGACTTAGCAGCGTCCCTGTCTCCATGTTTGACAGCAACATGACATTAAGTCTTGTTCTACAGCAACATTAGCGTGGCACCCTGTCTGGAAGCTGTCTCGATATGCAAATCAAATCCCCAGCCCTTGTCATTAAGAGCCCTTTTAGGTTTTTTTAAGAGAGGAAAATCCAACCAGAACAGAGCTCATAAGTTATTCTTTTGATCTCAGATATGACACGACTGAAATTCTTCACCCTGGAGATTTTCATCGAAAGAGTTGTTGTTGGAGATGGAACAGTTATTGATAAGGAAGGGCTGAATGGAGACAAAAAGAGATAACTGACAGCGCTGTCTCGCTTTCGTTCTCTTCATAGCGCTGCATCCAATTATCTTGGTGTTTAAATGTGATGGGAAATATATTGATCAGCTGTCTGTGTCCAGTGAAACCTAATCACACACATACAGGCCTATTGTACAAGTGTGAGGATGGCACATGAAGAAACACCACCACAAGAACTCATGCACACACGAGCACAAAGACTCAACACACAGATATAAACAAAGATACCTAAAAGTGAACAAACACTCTTGTAAACAGACTGCAACACACGCGCACACACACACACACACACACACACACACACACACACACACACACACACACACACACTTCCCTCCCTCCCTCAGAGCCAATTCTACATCCCTGTCTATCCCTCCCATGGAGAGTTGTTAATTAATTCCCTCCCCTTGTACGTTCGCCAAGATCAAACGCAGAACGACAGAAAAACACTTCAACTTTTCTCTAACTGTACTTAATGAGCAACGGTAATTTAGCTCTTTTTTTGCATTGCCTCCAAGTGAGGAACTGAGTTACAAATCCATTATTCATTACGATGAACAGCAAAAGCTGTCAAATGTTTTTCTTCCTGTCTTAGCCAACGATGGATGGACGGATGGACGGATGGATGGACGGACGGACGGATGGACGGACGGATGGATGGACGGACGGATGGATGGATGGATAGATGGACGGACGGACGGATGGATGGATGGATGGATGGATGGACGGATGGATGGATGGACGGATGGATGGATGGATAGATGGACGGATGGACGGATGGATGGATGGATGGATGGATGGACAGATGGATAGATGGACAGATGGACGGATAGATTGACAGATGGATGGATGGATAGATGGACAGATGGACGGCTAGATGGATGGATAGATGGACAGATGGACGGATAGATGGATGGACAGATGGACGGCTAGATGGATGGACAGATAGATAGATGATGGATGGATGGACAGATGGATAGATAGATGGATAGATAGATGGATGGACAGATGGACGGCTAGATAGATGGACAGATAGATAGATGATGGATGGATGGACAGATAGATGGATAGATGGATAGATAGATAGATAGATAGATAGATAGATAGATAGATAGATAGATGGGCAGATAGATAGATATATAGATAGATATATAGATAGATATATAGATAGATAGATATTATTTTAGGGGTTTTACCCTTTTTTCTTCTCCGTCTCTCCTCGAGAAGTGTCACACACAGTGTCGGGCTGTCGATAAAAAGGCTATTTGCAGCTCCACCGAAGCTTTTACTCTCCAGCCATAGTAGACAAACAGCCAAACACAGCAGCAAGCTAATGATTATGCTTGTGTTCAGAATGGGAGGAAAACACTGTAGTGCAGCCTTTTTTCTCTCACTCTTTGTTATTTTCTTATTCTCTCTTCCCTTCAGCCTCTTTGCTTTCTCCTCGTCTTTCTATCCCGTCTTTGGGTCGAGTGCAGAGAAAGAAGGTGAATTTGAAAAAAAAAACCCTGAGTGAGTGATTGTGTGTAGAGGAAGCAGTCACACGCAGATACACACCGCACGTGCACAGGCATCGTGATGGCGTCGGTACGATGGCTGTGCTGACTAAGTGTAGCAAAAACATGGAGAGCAGCAGAATGAGGTGTCAGCATTCAGAATGATTAGGGCTGTTTAGTCTAGAGCTGTGTGCATGTGTGTGTGTGTTCATTTGTATCCATAGCCATTAGCAGCCATGATGAAATGGCAGTCTCATTTGCAGTTAAGCCCCATACCACAGAATGATGGCAGTAATGCCTTAAACTGTAAACAACCACATCCTGCTGCATTACTACACAGCACTGTCACAAATCATAAAATACATTAAACTGGGATCCAGTTAATGAATAAAATGCAAATAGCACGCAGAAAGCCATACATGTGGTGTCATGTTGTGGTAAGAAGAGTAATGATGTGTCAGTTTAAAGGCTGCTAATTTATCTTTTATTACAACCCATTAGTGTGAAATGAATTACCGAGTTTACATCGGTATCATAACCAGCACAACTTTTTGGCCTCTTTCAGATTTTTCAGGGAACTACCTTCATCTCGATGCCGGAAGCCACACCCTGCGCAAGAAAGCCCGGCTGCTGAGCCCCGAAGTGGGGCCAGAGCAAGGCCCGCTCTGCCTCCAGTTCTACTACCAGCTCCAGGGAGAGGCACAGGGCAGCCTGAGGGTCCTGCTGAGGGACAGCGACCAGGGAGAGACCCTGTTATGGGCATTAAAAGGTGACCAAGGCAGTCACTGGAAAGAGGGGCGCACCATCCTTCCTCGAAGCCCCAGAGAATATCAGGTAGATAACCGCTGAGTGTTAGCGTGTTTATGAATCCCTGAATTAAGAAGCTAACACATAAGCTGAGCTGTAATCACCTGTATGTCCCTTTCTCTGGTGTAGGTGGTGTTTGAGGGGTTTTTTGAACACCCGACAAGAGGACATATCAGAATAGACAACATCCACATGAGCAGCAGCGCTGACCTGGAGCAGTGTGCACGTAAGTCCCATTCACCTGTTGGCACCTTCATTAATATGCTGGTCAGTGTTTCCGTCTGTCAGCTATCACTCTCTCCCTGCTTCACACCGGAACATTTATTCTGTGTTTTCGCCAGAGAGCGAGAGTGATGGGGGAGAAAAAAAAAATCATAATATTTCTCATTTACACACACACACATCAAAAAAGTGAAGCGCAAAAAAGAAAGTAGGTCACAACTGCCCTTTGGGCATGGATCCTTCACTATCTTTTATTATATCTCCCACTATCTCCTAGTCTTTCCCTGTACCACCCCATCCTGCTGTTTCCTTATTTGCTCTCGTTTATCCATCTCCAGCATTATCTTCCATTCAGTCTCTGCAGTCGAGCACTGAAAATAACGTGCGTGCTTGTGCTTGATTACTGGAGAGACTCTCTACTCTGGAGCAGAGAGACAGTAGTTAACCAATGAGGCTGCTATCAGCGACTGCTGTCGGCTCACTTGTAACAATTTGCTTTGCAGAGAAAAAAGGGCAAATTTCCATGCACTCCACACGCTGGGTTAAGTTTGAAGTCCTTCATATTTCCTGATTTCACAAAAATGTATGTGAGTCTTGGTTCAGAAACAACTTTGTTTTTATTGTAAAAAGATTTAAAGGCAGAAATGAGTCGTATTATGGACTTTAGGACCAGTCAGAATATATTTGCCTTTAGTGCTGTAGTGCATTAATACACCTTTAAGTCAAATGTTTCTGTGAGTCAAAGACGCTAGTTTTCTCACTACCGCTTCTTTATCTGTGCTGTAACTAGTTTTCCCTTCTTTTTTCCGTTCTGTCGCTCTTTCTCACTTCCATAAAAGATGCCACGTCCTCCAGCAAATAATAAACAGCAGTAAAATTCAGTCCGTCTTCCCACGACCCCTTAACTTACCTCCACCCTTCCTCTTCATTCCTCAATTTCCCTTCTCGTCACTCTGCCCCTCACCCTTTTCACCCTGTTTTCCGTCTGTCTTTTTCTTCTGCCGTTAAAATCCCAAAGGAAAGAAAGAGGATGAAAACGCTGTAGAAAAAAACTTTTAAAAAAAGAGCAATCGGGGAGAGAGGGAGAATGACAAAGCAAAGAGAAGGTGAGAAATGACAGACATAACAAGAGCCACTTTCCCTCTTCCCTCCCTCTTGTCTGGCTCTCTTTATTTTCTTTCCATTTTGTAAAAATAACTGTCATCCTGGAGGATATATGGGCCTTTGGAGTCTTAAACTACCTCTGAACTCGACAAAGCTTTATTCAGTTACAAACGCCTTAACCAGGACTGCGGTTATCTATTAAAAAACATTTGTGTTGACATTCATTAAAACTATCAGCACCATATAAATGTAATCATATATTATATAAGCTGAGGACATCTGCTGTTATTTTATTGCATTTCATATTGTGAAGGAAGCTTCCAAGGCCATGGGCGACACATATCCTTTCACATTTACTCTTGCTCCTCGTCTAACTTAGCCTCACTAACATTTGTTTTTCCTTTCTTTTCCAGAGCCTTTGCATGCTTTACTTCCTGGCCTGAAAAGTAAGTTCTACTTCACGTGCATTTGTACTTCCTGTGCCAACATGTCTGTGCTTCCTGCTTTGTTGCTTAGCTCAGCTTGCAGCACTGCAAACCCTGTTATTACCATACAGGCTTCCACAGCACACACTGTTAACTAGATAGGGGGTAAAGGTATTACTGTGCATCACTGCACATGTGCAGTACTTCTTGTAGTAGCACATGTACAAAACCAGAGTGGAGTGGGCTTTGTGAGGGGACAGGTTTGCAGGATGGATCCACTGCATTTTTCTGGCATGACTCCTTGCATGCTGGGCTGAAACACTTGATTTTGTAGTTTTTTTGAGTAAAAATAGATTTTTTTGCCTTCACACAAACAAACACGCACATGAATACATACTGCAACAGTAACACTTGACTAGCAACAATGTGCAGCTGTAACAGAGGGTGTTTCAAATATGAGCAGTGCACTGAACCATATTTGTTACAGTTTTTAATTCTTACTCAGGTTGTGTTTCATTTTAAACCATAAACAATTTCTCAGATGATGTAGGGATGAAGGTTAAATCACAGGGTCAGGGTTAAATTGCTGCTTCTGGTCTGTTTCTTTGGTGTCAGTGAAATTGCAGAGCTTTTTATCAGTCCATCCATATTTGTCTTCATAATCAGTCTTTCCCATCATAGTTTCCTTTATCCTGATTCAATTTCAACAGCTTAGCATCCTCTTTCCCTGCACATCCAGCTGCTCCTGGTCCACACTCATTTACGTCTCATTTTGTCTTTCCTTCTCCTTTCCCTGCCGTCCCCTCTCCTCTGGTCCCTGATCCCCCTTACATGAAATGCAGAGCACATCACACCCAACTTTCCTTTTTTCTCTCTCATTCATCCAGAAATAGGCCAGTCTGAAAAACGATAAAAAGTCTTAGAGCGATTGTGCTACTGGATCTCTTGTTTTTGAAGTCTGGGTTGGGACCTAAACCACGAGCTGTTTGTGCTTTTGTTTAGACGCCCACAAAATACACATGCTGGTCTCTTTGAAGACTTGCATATAGAAACTGGACTTCAGATTCTACCTCATGCTAACAAAACTTTTGACCACTTGGAGAATATAAAGGCTTTTTGGTGATTTGGTTCATGGAAGGCTGAGGCTTAAACCAGAGGACTCTGCTTTTATGTTGCTAGTTTCCTCAAATATTTCTGTTTGTGTGTGCGTGCGTGTGTGAAAACTATGAACACATAGTGTGAACGCTGAGAAGCACTTCTTGTTGTCCGGCACATTAAGCTGAATGAAAACACAAAGCCATCCAAGCACCAGTGAAACCCAGGAGACAAGTTCAGAAAACTCACATCACCTGACTCATACCCCGAGTATTTGACCTAATCCTCGCTTTATCTTAAACTGTCATGTGACTCCCAGCACGACAACGCTGCTGGTTCTGACAAACACCATATTTCTTGATCCTGACCCCCAGAAAGAAGGATTAAATTTCTCCTTTTAAGAAGTGATCTGAGCCCCTTTAGGGTTTCTCTCTGGGTGAGCAGATAAAGTTACACCTCAGGTGTTGTTTATTCTTCTTAGTGTCTCGATGTGAGACAAACAAAGCGTAGTTGTTTTTGACAGTTTTAAAGTTGACCGTGAGAAATATTCATGCTGTCACGGAAAGCTTCTGTTAAAAGGAGGCAGTGACGAAGGCTTAATCTGAATTTCTAAATTGATTTTAAGGAAAACAGGAAACCCCGGCACAACCAAAATGATTGCACTATATGAACTTACAGTCTTGTTACCTTTGAAACTGTTGCAGCTCTGAGACCACCAGCAGTCAGATGCCATCTTCAAAGAAACTTTGGTGCATGGAGATGGTGAAAAAACGATAATAAGACTGAGTCGGCAATTACATTAAAGCTGTTTGTGATAATACAGATGATCACAGTGATTACCTGTGATGACATAAGCTGCTGTTGTTTACATATACAGCATCCAGACAGAAACTCAAAAACAGAAATTCCTCCATGCGCAGTGGCGTAGTCGCTGCAGGGCGGCATCGGCAACCTTTTAAAAAGATATACAAGTAGAATAAAACCAGATGGCAGCCAGTGGAGTCGAGTCCCTAATGCAAAGACACAAACTGCAGACAAGTTGTGCTCATCAGTGGAGGCTGACCTGGATTGCAATGTGTTGGCAATATGTCTGCATTCATAAATAAGACAGCAAATATCAGCAAACATTTACCAGTCATTCGCAGAGTGACTGCAGTCGCTACAAGTCAGTGATTGTTTGATTGGTTGCCCCCCGGCCAGGTGACCTGTGGGTACTGCTGCAAGCAGTCGCCAGATGCAAAAACACTCAGTGCACTCATAAGCAACCAGCCATTTTCCTAAACGCCTCAGTCGGCTCCGTGAAGGCGACGCCGCGGTGTCAGGCGCTGTCAGGCGCTGTCAGGTTGTCCATCTGTGCCAGTCCGGTGATTTGATACCTCAAATTTGTGTCTTGAACTCAAAGGTTAACTGATTATATGTTGGTGGTCAAAGGTCAAGATCACCTTACAAACCAAGCTTTTGGCCATGACTTCAGAGGTCACACGCTAATTATTACAAAATGTCACACAAAGGTCTAATGGGATAAAATGACAAAGTGGCGATACTTTATATCCAAAAGGACAAAGGTCAGCTTCACTGCGACATCATAATGTTGTGCAAAAACACTTTTGTGGTCATTACATGGCAACCATAACTCAGGAACAGAAGGGGAGATGGTGACAAATCGCATTTGGTCAGACGCTGATTTGGCAGCACTCGTATTTAATTCGTAGAGCGTTCACTACACATTATAGTCCAGACAGACGGCAAGTTTTTTACTATAAAATCTTCCCGGTGGATTAAAATGTACAGTAAAAATATACATACATATATTTAGAAAAAGTTTGATGTTAAGAAGACGCTCGCAGAAACATTTGAAAGTGTCTGTTGGAAGCTATCGGTTGATTATTGCACACACACTCGTGCGTCTACACAGAGAAAAGGGGCTTACTCTGGTTTTCTGTTTTGTTTGTGAAGTGAGAGGCCGGCTTTGATGCTAATTAAGTGATTCAGAAGCTGTAGTTACCAAGCATCCCTTGAAAGCTACACGTTTTAGCTTTAGCAGCCATTCCCCTTTGCTACCTCAAAAAGCAAAGTAACGGTCAACTTTTTCAGCCCTGGAAATTATTTGTCAGTTAATCCACCGGTGGGAAGACTCTCCGTGCAGCGCAGCTTTACAATCACAGCCAATTTTAAACCCTTAAAGAGTGCGTCTGAACTTCAAAAAAAGACTAAATTAAGCTTACTGGTTCCGTGAGGTTTTGTATCCTGCTTTGCAACTCTCCTCCATCTCTTATTTCAGCTCTTTTTTTCTCCTTCTCTCTCATCCCATCTAGTCCTCGCTCGCCTCAGTTCTATTTCCTCTTTTTTCCTTCCTGTCTTTCTTGCTCATGCACCGTCTTTCCTTTATTCTCCCCCTTTCCTTTCTCTCTCTCTCTCTTCTATAACCTCTCTCTCAGCGGGTTTCTTTCACTGCGAGTTGACAGAGTATTGAACTTTCAGACAAACCCTTTAATGCAGGATTAAAGATATCATGGCAGGATTAGCGCCCTGCCTTCTCTTCCCCACCCTTGCACCCTCTCTCCTCTCACTTTCTACCACCCCTCTCTATTTCACTCCATTCTTTCCTCCAATAATGCCTTCTTTCTTATCCTTTCTCTGCCCCTGTAATTTCCCCCTCTCCCTCTCCATCTCTTTCTCTCCGCACTCAACTTCGGTCTGATCTTGCCCCGATAAAAATGCCGCATCCCAGCAAATACACCCACTTAACACTCCCCGCCCTTTGTTCAAGTCGCCCAAGCACTGCATAATCAAGGCTTTGCATTCTCTGATCCAATCTGAACGCATGGCATGGGCCTTTGCGTGTCAATGTGCAGCTAATGCTTGTGATGTTTGCATAAATCAAAAAAAGAGAGAGAAGAGTTACAGTAAGTTAAATATTTTATAAGAAATGAAGCCTTTAATTGGTTGTTTAAATATTAACACACAGCAAAATGTTAAAGCTAAAGTGGTTTTTGCCTGATTTATTTTCCTACCTTTAAATAGCGGCGAGCACGAGAGTTTCGGCACACTGCCCTGTAGAGTAAATGACCCCTGCTTCTGTTGTTAGGTCTGTCAAGCTCTTTGTTCTCTCCAATTTTACAATGATTTTAGGCAAACGCTATAATAAATTAGCTCTAATAAAAGCTGAATAAGCAAAAATGTTCTGCTTCTGTCCTCAGAAGACTTTGAACGCTCCTAGTTTTCGTAATGAATTCTTTTAAAGTGCTGCAAAACACATTTTAAATATGGATATAATGAGCTAAATTTCCCCTTACAAACAGTCTGGATTCTCACACGTTAATTATAGATGTGAAAGATGTGCAAATAAAGAAGATATCAAATGCTGCCATCTTTTTTAAGAAGGTATTTCGGCCACATTCAGAAGCCTTTTCAGGGTCCAGGTGGAAAATTCTGTCCAAGTAGAATTAGGAACGAAACCACAAATTAGAGTCCAACTAAACAGTCATTCTAGTTTTAATATTGTTAATTATGATAAGGAGGCTTTTCTAACATAAACGACTATTAGCATACGTGAGCTGATAGCCAAACTAATATATTTAGTTTATTACCAGAACAAAGTGTGTTTGCCTTAAATAAAACTCATTATTATTAATAGGAAAGTTAGCCAAGCATGTTAGTGTTGCAGTTTGAAGTTATAATGTTTGAAAAAGTGTCACTTTTACTGCAGCAGCATGCTTCAGTGTGTGGAGATGCTCAGAGCTTGACAGACCTGCCATGCTTACTCACACTCTGACAGGGGTGAAGTGAACATAGATCTCTAAATCTGAACTCTTTAATGCAGTCTGCATGCCTGCCTTGCTCATCTACTGAGCCAACCAGTAATGTGTCCTCCTGCCCTCCAGGGGGTGCCATATCTGGAATGGAGCCCACAGTAGACACAGTGGTGGTGCAGCCAGTCCCTGCCTTCTGGTACTATGTGTTGGCGGGAGGCGGTGCCCTCTTGGTGCTGGTCAGTATAACCGTGCTGGTGATACTGTGCTGCCACCGGTACCACTGGGCGACCAAGAAGACCAGCAGTAGTCATCATCATTCGGTGACGTACCGCAACAACCAACTGCCATATCAGCAAGGTCGCCAAAACTGGTACCAGAGCCAAAACCCAGGCTGTAATCTGATCCATAGCCCTAACCAAAACAACCTGAACCCAAGCACCGGGCCGAGTCTGGAACCCATGCTCACCATATCACTGGAGAAAGAGGACAGCTACGACTCCCAGTGTTGAAAAGGCCCATCTGATTTAATAGTATGTTTTTTAAATGAAGCAATCAAGGGGTGTGAAAAGAAGCCGTATTCAGCATAATCACTGCTCTTCACTGATGAGGATCTGCTCAGAGGCACTCCAGTGCACGTTGCTGACGAATGATCTAATTAACTGATCGGTGTACACTAAACTGGTAGAAAGAAGTCCTGACATTAAACTGTACCCCTGAAGAGCAGATGACAGAGCTTCGGTTGTATTTCTGATGGCTGAAGAGGGCCTGATAACGACACTGTGGGGCAATTTTTTTGATGTCGAGCGTAGACTGGCTTCTGTACCTGAACCCTGAAAGCGAGCTGGATTATGACCACAGTAAATCACAGTAAAGGTAGTATGAATAACAGGCTGTGGATGACACACACTGCATTTACATGCAGCGTACAATGTCAGGGTTGTAACAGCATATCCCCCACCTTCAGTAAATGTCAGAGCAGGATCTGTCTGTCTGCCCCGCTCTGATCTGCAGCTTGGACATTGCCTGTCTCCAGATACCCGTCAGACAGAGGAAGGATTTACACACAGGTAGAAAAGACACGCTGTGTTTGTGTGCAGCATTAAGAGTGATGGCTGCTTCTCCGGGACTGAATGAAGCCCAATTTTATTTGCCCACATGTGTTTGCGAGACTGAGATAGTGACAGAGACAGATTAATAACAAAAAAACAGGAAGAATTAGTGTTGCCCGTCCAGCTGTGACAGATAGACAGCTGCACATGCACCCTGCAGCTCTGAGACGGCTCACGTCGCATCACATCAGCTGAAACACGCGCACCAATATATGCACGGACACTTCTGAGATTTTCAAGTCTCACATGTTACTTTGAGTGTGTTTTTCATTACATTCTGGATATGCCTTTTAAAAAAAACGTGCTTTAAACCTATAACCTCCGATATGAGGTAGTGCCTCTGTCCAGTAAGAGTCTGAATGGATGCAGTTTGACTCTACAGTTTGTTGCCTGGATCTCGTGGATAATCTGATGCCTGTGTCTGTCAATGTTCAAACTAAACACCCGTGTATGTCTTGCACACATTAGGTTGGGTGAATGAAACAAAAAGAAAAGAAGTACTATCGTGCATCATTTGAATGTGGAATATTATTTTTCTTAAATCTCTGCAAATACAACAATCTACAAACAGTCTTTACTTTCTGCACATAATTACCAAGGCCTTTTTTGTTTCTAACACATCCAACACTGGTATCCAGTCCAATAAATGAGACCAAACTTGCTTTGATAAAGAGCATTTTACAACTGAAGCCTTTTGGAAAATCATTTATCTGCTTAAAGACTGCCGACTGATTCTAGTGCAGCAACAATGTAACTTTTTATTTATGTATTTTCTGTTAGGGGTGTAACGATTCTCCAGATCCACGGTACAGTTCATGTTTCTTTTGAATTAAGGACATCACTGGACGGGAGGATTAGGGCCACTGAGGAAAATATTTTCGAGTCGTCACTTTTTCATCTTCAGTGGCCCTAATCCTCTCCTGTAGGTAACAGCTGCTTTTAATCAGCTCCACATGACCAGCTATCATAAGCAATACAAAGTCATGTCTATTTAGCACATCATTACAGGACGCAAACTCTATCTGTCAGCTGCTAATATTCATCCCATATTTGCAAACGCATGCTGTTTATACTAACACAAAAATGCTCCAGTAAACAGACGCTCATTTAAACTGGATTTTACAGCAAAGCTTGGCTAATGTACCAGACGTGACCCTGCAGTTAGTCTGCCATGGCTGTCACGTATGGTCTGTCTGTATTTACAGTCTTGCACTGAGTTGATGCTCTTAACTTTTACATCATCTCCATAACATATCAATAACAAGATGAGAGCGCAGCGGCGGTGAGGTCTAACGAACGAGGCCGTGGATGTATCGCAAATTTAGTGTCTGCTTCTGAACTGTTACACCCCTAATCGGCATCTGTCACTCACTGCAATGATGGTCTGTGTAGTGGATAGAAAAAGTCGACACACCTGTTAAAATTTCAGGTTTTATTGAGACCGAGATAAATAATTTCCCACATTTTCCATCTTTAATGTGACCGACAGTTTATCCTGTACAGTTCACATGGGAAACAAACTAAAATCCTTAAAAGGAGGGAAATGTCACATTTAAAGTAAGCTGGTTGCATTACACAGCATTTTGGAGGTAGTACTCTGTCAGCATGGCACATCGTAAATTAACATTATTGACCCTCTCCAAACCGGTCAGGTTGTGAGGGTGTCGCCTGTGCACAGCCCTCCTCAGGTCACCCCACAGGTTTTCTTTTGGGTTCAGCTTTTCTGGTGATGATATTTTTGATGACTTGGTGAAATTCATATCGATCTAGAACTTTCTAGCAGACACCTGAAGGTTTTGCACCAACGTTGGTTGGTATTTGAGACTTGTTCCCTGCACCTTGACTACTATTTATTTAAGTTCCCCAGTGCCAGCTGAAGAAAAACAGCTCCAAACTATGATGCTGCCATCACCGTGCTTCACAGTGGGTCTGGTGGTGTTTTGGTGATGGGCACTTTCTGGACTGTGGCCACAGAATTCAGACCGTAGAACATTTTCCCACACGCTTATGGAAGAAGTGAAGGATGCAGAGATTGTTGTCACGTGTGGTTAACGTCGCGGTCAGCCTCTTGGCAACCTCCCTGACCACTTTGGAGGGGCACCCGGTCTCTTTTAGTCAGTAACAAAGTGTTAACTAAGCAAGTGTCAGAAAAGTCGTGTTAGACCAGCTGAACTTTATTTGATTGTAGTCAGAATCTCTTTAACCGATGGCAGGTGTGTGCTGACTACTGTTTGGCATGATTTTGAATGTCATTGGTTAATTTTCTATGCAAACCAGTTATAAAAGGACGTGCAACCACATTATTTCATTATTTCTTTATTTATTTATTCCCTCCGAAACGTTAACAGTTTGTTTTTAAATTGAACTATACAAGTTACAAGTCATATTAAAGAAAGCTCTCACCCCTAACCGGTCACGGCAGATGGCCCCGCCCCTCCCCGAGCCTGGTTCTGCCGGAGGTAACTTCCTGTTAAAAGGGAGTTTTTCCTTCCCATTGTCGCCAGGTGCTTGGTTATAGGGGGTGTCTGATTGTTGGGGTTTTCTCTGTAGGTCTTTATTTTTGACTATAAAGACCTTGATGTGACTATTGTTTGAATACTAACAACATTGAAATGAATTGAATGTTTCGTCTTACTTGGCATTTTAACAGGACTGCTTTCATAAGTTTGATTGTGTATTTAATCAGCAAGTGTAACATGATGCATTTCTGATTAGCGGGTTCATATTTTTGCAGTGTAGAGAACATGAGCACTTTTCTTTTTAATTTACTTACATCTACTGTGAATCTTTTCATGAATTGATTAATGTTCTTTCTGTCCTTCTGTGTTGCTGGTGCACACTAGTCACACTATAGTTGTTTTTATACTTGCTGACTAAAAATTATATTGATTCTGCACACTGGGATGAAAAAAACTATTCGGTGTCATTTAGTGTTTTGAAAGCTTTGAAAGCTCTTTTAAAGCTTCTAGTTTGAATAAGATAGGAGCTCATAATAAAGCAAATCTAAAGTGTTAACGTGTTTTATGAAGAATGCTCACATGATGTCAGAAAAAATCTATCTAGATTGTGAAGCTGACGGTGTATCAGAGTGGACTTCACAGCATCTCTACCCCCTACATCATTTTGTTCATGCCCAAATCCCTGAGCCTTTTTATCAAAACCCACTTGTTCCTGTTCTTCTCCTTCCCTTCATTGCAAATCCTCCCAGTGAAAAACACAGGAGAGAAAATGAGAGGCAGAAATGGAGGGGAGCAAAATCTCTCAGAGGAGAAGGGCCCATTAAGCGAGCCCCCTTTTTCTCCAAAGAATGTGCCCAGAGATGGAGGGAGATGAAAGAAGTAAAAGGAAAAAAATGCTCTCTATACTTTCTAAAGATAGATCTTTCTTTTACTCTAAGAGGGAGGCTAACAGGGAGGCAGGTTGTGGTTTGGATTGAAGGAAAGAGAGAATAGATGGAGGAGGGCAGGTTGTTTCAAACACAAAAGCAGATGAAAGAAGTCTTTTGGCAGAATAGACAGCGTGATGAAGCCTCACTGCACTGCACACACACACACAGACGAGCAAACGCCATCTAACCACCACAGACCTCTATTAGCCAAGAACCCAGATTTGCAGCAAGCTCTCAAAACACCGTTATCAAAATCATTGTTTCATGCATTTTTTCCACACTGCAGATATTCCCCATATTGGCTTATTTCATCATGCTGCATCTTATAAAATGCTGTTTTGTGCCTTAGTCAACAAGTATTTTAGTTATTTTGTGCTTGCATATCCATTTCCAGTGTGCCGAGCCCCTCTCCCTTCCATATCAATCGACTCGCGTATGATTTACACATTATATGACTCATTCTAGCAGCCTTGTGCCATAACCCAATCAATGTGGGGCTGGATTCAAATAGAAGAATGATATACGGGTGTATTTATGTTGTGCTACCCGTGCACTTTTCCCCTGCACTCTCTCTCACTCTCTATCGAACTTTTGCAAGTTTCTGGCGTCTTTTCATGCGGCCCTTATAAATCAGCCTCCCTCTCTCTCTCTCCCTTCTCCATCACAGACTACTTTGAAGCCTTTTAATAATTCTAATTAGATAATGGAGCTGATTGCATTCATAAAGCCCTGCGGTAAGCATTTCTAGCCCTGAGGCCATCTCTATTTTTTCTCTCTTTCCTCCTCCTCCTGTGGAAATATTATCGTACAAGCACTCTAACAGGTCCTCGGGCCCCTCTGGAACAGCGAATGGTGCCAAAGAGCCATCCCTGTCTCTTCCTGAATAAAAAAGATCCTTTTTTATTTTTCTCTTTACTAATTGGAGAAGGGAGATAAAATGGGGCTACAGGGAGTTTTAATCTCCTTTCAGATCCATGCGATGATTCTTCTCAGGATCCTCGCCCGAGGGCTTTCAGCCAGGATCATTAGAAAGCGTTCAGCAGTCATCCAAAGAGCGTCCAAACCTCTGGTTTTTATCCTGATTTTTTCTTCTTATCTTTCTTTAAGTGATTTAATGTTTTGTCAATGCTTGCAGTGAAAAAGGAGAATTTAGAGCGTGGAGGGTCTGTAGTCAGGCAGCAGATTTACAGACGTGTCGTCTTTTGCATTTCAGTAGGAACCTTTAAAACATAATTACAGCACGGCTACTGGGTTCATTAACTTCTGAATAACTGCACTGTTTTTACATCTAATTACACGAGAGTATTAATTCATTAAAGTCTGCTGCCGACGCTCTCTTTAATCACTTTTTAGTTTTGCAACCTTTCATGCTTTCAGCTTGATTGTAAATTTAGATACAACCACACGTTGAGATTTATCTTACTTTAGTGTATAGCTTTGTTTTTTATTTTTTAATGAATTAAATGTTTCTTCTGTAAATCTGTTGGAAGCAGAGAGGCTTGATGATTTTGAAACACGGCCTCAGATGAAGCTGAGTTTAGTTCACTCGCTCCGCCTGAGTAAAATCAGCCTTGAGGCTGTAAACTTCTTCATCCCCGGCCTAAGCCACATTGCTGTTATATTGCTTTTGTGCACTTTCTCTGCCTTTGTCAAGATTTGATGGTTGTCTTTCAATGTCATGCACTTTGAGGACATTAAATATTGATGTCAGTCAAATAACTACATTTAGAAACGCTCCACTGTTCGCTTAATTGAATGCACTCAATTAGCATAGGATTTGTTTGTCGTTTTAATATTTGAAATGAAATTAAAATTTGGTTAATTCCTTTAGTTTGTTCTCTAATTGGGTTTGAAAATCCATTTTTAGAAAACCGTCTTTCGTTTAAACTCAGTTCTACGACATTCATGAGCGAATAGTGCAGCAGGTGTCATTTAAAGGAATTCATCTGTAAGCTTTGAAGAAAATATGCAAAGTTTGTAAATGCAGTTTATTGAAGGTGTAATCGCAAGATGCCAAAACTGTCTCACAGACGAACATCTTTATCTAATTGAGGAAATGAAGCTTTTTTCATATGTTCTAAATGAGTTTTTCACCTTTTATCTTCTGAATATCTATTACAGTTTCACTTCATAATGTGTTTTTGATTCCTCTGCTCTGGCAGTAAATGATTATCAGCTGCTCAGATATTGCTCCATTTATTTCTGGGGACTGTAACGTCAATTTCCTTGAATAAAACTGAAGAAGAATCGAGCCCTCAAAACCTCCAAAGCCTTGCACTCTGGCCTGCCTCGAACATTTAAAGTGGTATTTTAGCTTGTTGAATTTCACGGTCTTGGAATAAAAAGAAAATAAACTGTGGTGAATGTGAAGGTAATAAAGGTAATATTTTTCTATGAAACCGTTTTGTGTGCTTTCATTTTTTAAAATTCAGCCTCCACTCGCGTCTTTCTTTTCATTTCTAAGCAAATAAAAAAAGAGCACTGATGCTTATCACATAATGGAAGTTGCTGGCTTTACGCAGGTAGTCTGGGAGAAGAGTTCAGTAAGACTGGATGTTGTTTTTCGCCGATAGACCGAGCGCGGAACAAAACAGTTTGGAGGAGCTTTCTTCCCTGATCTCTTCAGAAAGTTTAAACTCTTTGAGCTGTTTGATACCCATCTACAAATGCAGCGTAGACACGGAGCGACGTTATCGCGGCGGGACTCTGGAGTAGCTCCAGACGGTTTAGATTAATACTGTTATTCTTTCTGTCTCTTTAACAGATCCCAGGCCAATAGATTTTGAAAAAGATCCTGTTTTCAACCACAAGCCCCCCATCAACGAAGGTGAGGTTATCCTCCTCTCTCCTCGCAGCCTCGGGCTATACTGGCTGTTTTACAAGTCTCACCCAAAGACAAGTGAAATTGCTCTTTAAGGACAGGCGTGCCTATGGCTCCTCCAGAAAAGAGCCCGTGGCAACGGTGACAGACAATCTCTGCTGTGTGCAAAGAAAGGAGACGAGTGTGAGCGAGCTGGCAAAAGCGCATGTCTGCGTGTGCATACGGTGTGCGTTCTTCCTCGTCCTCCTCCTCTTTCATGTTCCACGGCAGACAAAGTGAGACAGACAGCTTCCTTCTGGGCACCGAGAAAAACATCTGTCTGTAACAATCACAGATTACATGTGTGTGTGTGCCCACTGCTCCTTGTTTCTTTCAGCCCCTTGACAGAAACAAGACGAGAGTACTCAGCTTTTAGCTCGCTAAACAAGTCTGTTTACTGTCTGTTTACAGCTTTCCTGCTTGTCTGCAGTGTGTGCTTCCATAAAACACTCCAAATGCAGCACTTAATTGTGGATTGGCTCGTTCGTGTGTACACATTCATTATTCGGATTAGCCCGATTGCCTTACTAAGTAGGAGTGCACACTTCAGCCCTCACCACATGCACCAGATCGTACCTTTAGAGTAATTAATTGCATTACGTTTTCCAAAGTTGCTAATCAATAACAACTGTGGTCTTGAATACATCAGCTTGCTAAGATTTCCTATTTTCTCTCCAGACTATGTGTTCCCAGGGTGGCCATCCTCCTTCTCCACCCCCTCCTCCAACATGGACCCCCCCTCCGTCACCTTGGTGTCAGAGAAGGACAAGGACAATGCCTGGCTGTACACGCTCGACCCGATCCTCCTCACCATCATCGTGATGAGCTCGTTAGGCGTCCTGCTGGGAGCGGTGTGCGCGGGATTCCTCCTCTACTGCACGTGCTCCTACAGCGGGCTCTCCTCGCGCTCCTCCACGACACTGGAGAACTACAACTTTGAGCTGTACGACGGGATCAAGCATAAAGTTAAGATGAACCAGCAGAGGTGCTGCTCAGAGGCATGAGGACTCAGAGGGGAACTCTGGAGAGTGATGGTGGGGGAAGACGCGAGCCCCCGCAAGTCATCTTGTTCTCAGACAATTTGAAAACGAAGCACTATCTGTAATCTCGACCCCCGTGTCCCCTACCTAATGCCCCGCTAACCCCTTGCTCTGATGTCTAACGGGGTGAACCCGGAGTTTCCCCGATTGTCTATGTGCCAGTGGGAACTTGTGATCTTTATCTCCCCTACATGCTACGAGGCCTAAACTAGGGGAACATGTGACCCCCGTCTCCCCCCGCCTATAGTCCATTTTCTCCTCTGCCTGCAGGAGACAGCCTGCTCGATTCTAAAAGCCTGTGATTGAATGAAGGAATGAAAAAAAAAAGAGTATTAATGATCGATCTACCATTGAATATTACCCACGAGCCACTGGGATGACATCGAGAAGAATGGACTACAGCACCTGTGACAGTCTGGACATTTGGACTACAAATGGCAGCACAGTCTGGGCTAAAGTGTTGGGATTCTTGATGAAGAAAGGAATTTGATGATCCGCCCTCGTGACTGACGCAGACGTGAAACTTCAGCGCGAACAGCAGAAGCATGTTCCACAGGGCACCAGTGGGTCGGTTCAGTGGGTCATTTTTGACTGAAATCAACACATATCAAGTGAATGCCTAACCCCCCCCCAAAAAAAGTTTAAAAAGATATTGAACCACACAACTCAAATGATCTAGATTTCTAATGGCAAAGAAGGAAAGGAGTATGAAAAAGGACATTTTCTTTTCTTTTTTTTGGTTTGTTTCTGAAAGTGTTGGATATGAGTTCTGTGAGTTTTTAACGTCCATTAGCCTGCCATGTGGCGCTCGCTCGCTCCTTTGTCTGCCCCGGTCTGCGCTTCGTGAAACCAGTGGCATAGAAGAGTAATGGTGACTGTTTTTGTTCTGTTTTAGACTTGTGTCTCTTTGGGGAAAAAAAGGTAAAGAAAAGCCAGCTTCAGTTCGTAGCCGCCCTGTAGAGCTCTTATGCCATTTTTTTAGCCTTTTATTTTAGCTTTGTGTTGGACTCCACGGTCTTACGTGTTCTTTCAGTCCTTTACTAGCTATTTTGGCCTATTTTCCATTACAGATTATCAGTCTTTACAAAGAGTAGAGGCAAGATAAAGTAAGGCAGAAAATCAGAGGTTTATCAAAATCTAACATGCTGTTATGGAGTCGTGCTTTAGATTCAGTATTCTAGAGTTTGTTTTTGGTATATATCTCTATTTTTTTGCTTTCCAAACTGTACGATGCCCAAATGATGGACAGACACTGTGTGAAGAAAATGTCAGTGATTGTTTTATTGCAACCTATGGATTGCCAAAGAGCCTTGTATGTGCACGGTAGGGCTGCGGGGATTAAGAGCGATGAGTCGTCACGCCGCTTATCCACCACTCTTAACTTTACCCTTCTAAACAAAGGCCGCTCAAAGATGAAAGGCGAAAGAAAGACTACAGGAGGAGAACGGAAATCGCACCGTCGACTTTTTTGGACACACAATCGAGCCTTAAGCTAACTACAGTATACGCTGTATCGGAGGACAGCCATCGAGGAGGGCCAGTGCTGCTGGAGAGACTGATAAACAGGAGGAGGCACACACACACACACACACACACACACAGAGGTAGAGAGGAAGACAGAGGCAAAGACAAATAAATGGTTGTGTTTACATGCAAGTGCCAAATGTGTTATTCAAAAGAAATACCAAGCAATCGATCGTTTAGCCTAAACTGAGCCTTTCTTATAGGTATCTTCGACAGCTGATAGCATCCCAGGTGTGTTTCTGCTGTTGTGTTTCTATTTTGTTTGTATTTCATGCACGCAATTGAGTCACAAAATAAAGAAATGTTATTGGTGGCAAAACATTTAGTGAGACTGCAAAAGAAAAAGCAGGTAAACGTGCAAATTTGACAAAAAACACAGGTTTTACTTTGTGATGCAGCCTGTGAAAAGCAGGATAAAGATGCAGCTTCTATCACAGGTTTAATCATTTATGAAAGTGCTGCAAATGAATATCTAATCAACGCCCAGTAATTTGTTTGACATTTCTAAAAAAGAAACCATGTTTGGTTGGAGTCCTGCCGACTCGAGGTCGGCTTTAATGTTCCCCGAAGTGCTCTAACAAAAAAACACTGATGTTAAAAATATCTGCAAACCTTGTGTTCAGACAGAGAAAAGTTTGGGGAAATATAGATTTTTCTAATGCAAACTTCACCTGTGTTATTTTGTGTATGGAATAAGAAATTACTGAGCATAATTAATATTTTTTAATAGAAGAAAATCCATCCAAAAAGTTTCAACTGGGAACATTAAATCAACTTTAATTAAATTAATATCCAATCCAGTTATTCTGTGCATGTGAGCGTATCCAAAGACTGCGAAAGTAAAGAGCAAACAAAATAAAAGATAGAAGATGAGCGTGAGGAGGACAGGTGGATGATGAGAGACACACACGACTTCAGACTGGAGGACTAAACGCTGAACTCCGCCTCTTTCTTTTACAGATGAAACCTTAATCCTAGGAAGTAGGTTTTGATTTTCTTTTGAATCTGTGAAATATCACGTTGTTATCTTCTACGGTGTAAACTCAAAGAGCAGAGGAAACAAGGGGGGATGTAGGAGGAGAACGAGTCGCGCTCGGTGCATCTTTGCCTGCAGCCCCCGTTCTTTCTCTCTGTCTTCCTCTCTCCTCTTTCAAGGGCAAGCATCGATATAGCCAGGAGGCCTATTAAGGAAAAATAAACAAAGAAGATGAAGGGAATAGTAAAAGGTGTTGAAAGAGAGATGAAGGAAGGGAACAATGGAGGGAGACGGAGAGTTTTCTGTCCATCTAACTGTGTTTTCATTGGACTGTTTTCCAAGTGCCTTGGAGCTCTCTCATTATGTCTCTCTTGCTTGCTCTCTCTCACTCTTTCTCTCTCCCAACTGATATCTTACTCTCTCTGTTTCACACACACACACACACACACACACACACACACACACATGACTAGAGAATATATTGCAACAGTTCTATAGAAACAATGAGACACACACGCTCATGAAGTTGTCTCTCCTCCTGCGTGACTTTACTCACTCATTCCTTCTGGAAGTCCACATAGTATTACCTCTTCTGTCTCGATGGACACACACACACACACACACTAATGACAGACACACATATGTACACTACATCAACACAAACCTACGGCACTGGCCAGATTATTCAAACTGTTGTTTGTAGACTTTGTACAGAAAAATTTCTTTTTTTAATGTTATTATTATTATTATTATGATTATTATTATTATTTAATAAAGGCTAAACAACATGTAGTCTGGTGTTTTGTGTTTATTTATATTCATATGTATACATTCATATATACATACATACATAAAAGAAATTTCCATCACATGTGCAAAAGTCTTGAGCCAGCGTCTCTATATTCTCTGTATTTTGCTTTTTCCAAGGATGCAGACTCATTTAAACTGGTCTTGAGCTGGTCCAGGCTCTCTGAAGGGCTGTTAAAGTTTTTCTGTGGGCACTGGCTTTCCCCCCACTCATGTTTAGTCTAGTCCTCCTGCCTGAGCATTTTCAAAAGAATGTCTACTTGCTTGTTAAGACAATTAACTCTGGACTATGAATCATTCAGGGATTTAAAAAACACACCTACGAGATGGGATGAACTGGTGTTTTGTCTACACATAAAACCCAGAAATCTTAGCAAAGAACAAATTTGAAATCATTTTTTCAGGCACCTAAAAACCTAAAAGTCACGTCCTTAAGAAGCAGGAAAAAACCAGCAAGGACCTGAGATCTGCATTTGGACCTTCAGCTGATCCATCTGCTGTTCACTGAAGCCTCATCAGAAATCATCTGAGCGGAAAGGCAGCTGTCAAGAAGCCAAGTTACACAAAAACTGGACTCAACTAGTTTGTCATGATTTGCTGGGCAGCTAGTTTTATATTACGAGATCATTCAGAGATTATTAGCATTGCAGCTGACGGCCTGGCTCTCCATCCTTCTCTCCAAATGTAGTTACTCCTGGTGTAAAAACAATAATAATAATGTCTCTATTTTGACATTATTAAAGCTTAATTTTGCATATTATGCTAACATTTGTTCATTTTTATTAGGCCCAGCTGATGGGACGTTCACTAGCTCACATGCATTTTATTATTAGGTATTACATCACTGAGGGGTCTCCATGGACAGATCAGAGCTATGCTGGCTGTATGAACACCTCCACTTGTTGGACGTGCTGCAGCAGGATGAGTGGAACAAAAGCAGGGCTGAGCTTCACCAAATGTAACTGAGCTGCTGAGAAGTGAAGAGGACGCAGAGGTCAGAAGGTGTTATGAACCACAGACGTCTGTGAGCACGTGAACGAGCCAGCAGACAGAGAAACCAGCGCTGCCTCTCCTGGTTCCTACGCTCCCTCTCTCCTTCACCTCCACTCGCTCCTCCACCCTCACACTCTTTGTGTCCTAAGGCTGTTTTGGAGTTTGTACCCGTGAGAGGGCAAAGAAGGAACGATCAAAGATTCCCTTCATTTAATCGAGTCGTGAAAGCTTGCTCCTAATTAACACGCACCCATGAAAACACACCAAAGCACACACGCCTGATGGAGACTAGCTGGAAGATCACAGCAGGAAATTTGTCACCCACTCAAATAATTTATCTTAACAGTGAGAGTACTGATGGGCCCAACGTGACAACAGTTTTGGATAACTGCCTTACAGTTGGGCACGGCATGCATTGTGTGCAATTACAAGAGTGTGTGTGTGTGTGTGTGTGTGTGCATCATAAAGCACCAGATTTAAGACGGAAGCAGCACACCAGCAGTTTATATGAAACCACAGTGAGAAAAGGTCCAATATAGCAAAACCATTTCTCCTGCACTGCCCAACATCCCTGACCATCTGCTCCCCTTTATACTGTTTTTAATTGGCTGTAACTCTGTGCAGTACGACTGAAGTTTGCTCTTAGCCTCGTGTAATTAGCTCAGAGAGCCGTTACCACTGACCTGTCGGCATCAGCATTTCTTTTTCTTCTTTCTTCTCATTGCTCCTGCCCTCATTTATTCATCACTCCATCGTTTCACTGTTTTTCTTCTTCTCGGGAGACCGACCTGGTTCTCACGCTTTCTGCTGACATAAAAACACACAACAGCACACGCATGAACACAAGTCAAAGTTTCTGCACGAGCATTGAGCCAACGCTCTTGAACAGAGGCTCATGCAAACTCAAGTGTACCAGTGTGAACGTCTGCAAGCCTGTAGATTCACACACACACACTTTGTACTCACACTTCAGGCGTGTCTCTTGTGGTTGACATTTGCTGAGAGTGTAACCTACTAACACAGATTTTAACTCTGCTCAGAAGCACGAATCACTGATCACACACACAGGACATATTCCATGTTTCATCGTTTTGTTTCTCTTGATCAAAACCAAAAGTTTCAGGATGGAACTGGAGCTGTTCTGGTGATTGATAGCAAGGCAATAAATCAGACAAAGAAATGGGGAACAAAGAATGTTTTAAATAGTAATAATATGTTCATATGATATTGTTTGATAGTGCTGAAATTGTTTTCTAAAAAATAAAGAAAAAGCCAATTTGTCTTGGACTAATTGGACCTTTACAATAGATGCTTTTTTAAAGTTTGGTGCTATTACCGAGTAAAGCTCAGTCTGGATGTCCTTCTCTGGCTTTGATAAGTTTGCATTTAGATATCATGGAGGCAGATGCCCCACAACTGGTACCTAACTTCTACTTTTTTCTCCTCTGTGCTGAATAGCGTGCATCAGCAACTGGCAGCCCTGTGCATACAGTAAGTCTGTGTTTTTACTAGAAGACAGTAAAACCGAGCTGCTAGGTGAACCGACTCTGCATTGCATAAAACTGTTCCAGCTGTTGGCTCGGGTTGCTTACGTGCATAAATCCATACTCAAGGATCAAATGGACGAGCAGAAATCCAGCAGCTTTGGGAACATTTTTCTTTAACCCAACACGGCAGCAACAACCCCAATAAACAAAATCATATCAGTAAAAGGAAGGTGCATTAAATAGTTCAATTTTTGGCCGTATTACGACCTCACACATCACCCCGTGAGCTTGCATTCTTATGTGTGTGCAGAGCAGCGATGTGCACTGTGCAGAAGGACATTTATCCTTTTCAGCTTTGTTGGAAGTGTAGATAAAAACATGTATTATAACTGTTCCCTTAATAGCCTACAATAACTTCTCATTTATAGACATAATCATTTCCATTGCACTTTATATGATTATCATATCGACTGAATAAAGCTGCAATGATATTTTAGAGGAGTGGACAGAACAGAAAAGGATATTTAAAACAATGCAGTAGAAATCTGATTTGCATGCTTTAGTCTCTCTTGCTAAATCAGATTTTGGCATTTTGTAGTGGACAGAAAGGAAGTTAAGTGCAAAATATTTTCTTTACCATATAAAATCAATTCCTCCCCACCTGGGTGGGCGCCTGGGTGAGACGGTCTTGGCAGCTTCCAGCACCCTGCTCTGCTAATGTCCCAAACTCACTGGCTGCACGCTGCTAAATCAAATTATGTTTCATCAGACAAAAGCTTTTCTTTTTTTTCCTCGCTACACATGTCCAAATAAGATTGCTGTAAATCTAATCACAGCATAAGGTTTATTGCTTTCTGATTTCTGGCTTTTTATTTGTTTGGCCTCCTGCCAGGTGCTGGCAAGTGTGCCTGAAAAAGTAGCCAAATTAAAAAGTTGCAGTAAACTGAGGGACTCACCTGAGTGAATTGGTTGTGTGAAATAAAATGGTTTTTGTCTTTATGTCTCTTTGATAACAAAAACTAAGCCAAATTGCAGAAGCAGCGAGTCAAAAACAAAGTACACCTGGACTGCAACCAGGTGATGCTATTCACATGCACTAATTAATCATCATCGGTAAGTGTGGGCACCTGGATGAAAGCAGATGTTTTGGCAGTTTGGAAAGACATCTGAGAGAAGCAACTGTTGCTGTTCATCAAGCTTATCAGGGTTATAAGGTCATTTATAAACCGTTAAAGTCCATCGTTGTGCAGTAAGAAAGATTATTGCCAAGTGGAAACCATTCAAAACAGCTGCTAATCCGGTCTTTAAGTGATGACGTGTGAACTCTGCTTTCTGGTCCAAACTACAAGGCTGTTGTGTTTTTAACATGTTTTAATGTTTTGTGTTTAATCTGAACAAGCCCCTAAAAACAGTCAGTGATCACTGTCGGCTTCTCTCGGTTTTTATTACCACTGTTCATTTTAAAGCTCAGTTTTTAAACCCTTATGATGTAACTACAGCCATGCAGCAGTATATTAATGACTAACCTTGTATTGTGGATGGATTATCTCAGTGTTCTCCTGACTGAAGTTTGGTACGTTTACAGCAGCGGTCCCCAACCTTTTTTGCGCCATATGTCCGACAATATTTTCACAGACCGGCCTTTAAGGTGTCGCGGATGAATACAAAAAAATTAATCCACTCACAAAATGACTCACGGACCTGCCCGGGTGTTGGGGACCGCTGGTTTACAGCATCCTGCCATGCGATTGCATTTGTCCCTAACCATCGGGAACCCTCACGTTAACTTTTATCAAGTGGAAAAAAGTTAGCATTCGTCCTCCAGCTTCACTGTGTTTATGCTATGCTAACATAGCTGTGTAGCTAGCCACCACGTAGCACATCATTATATACCAGCTAGCCCAACTTCAGTAACCCTACAAACGTCACTGCTGTTTAGTTTTCTGTCTTCATTTATGTTGGAAGTGATAGCAGAGCTGTACGTTTGAATTTTTCAGAAATCTCTCAGTCAAAACATGCTATATCATGTTTAGGTGGAAGCTAGCGAGCTAACTTCCTGCTAACTTCTAACTCTGTTAAACTTCATAAATTCTGTTTTCATGGATGTTAAACTTAAT